AACTCAAACGAGGTTAGAGATAGAAAGAAACTTTGAATTGTTCAGCATAATATGATCTACAAAGTTAGGTCAAGGTCAGAGTTCACGATCCCTAGCAACGACATAAAAAACCTTAGCAACTATATATTTTTGAACTAAGCAGGCTATGAATAATATAAATATGACATTTTTATTACTGGAAATGACATTTTTGTCCCTAGCAACGACATATAAGTCAATCTGACATTTTTAATACTGGAAGTAATATTATTATGCTTAGCAATTATTTTTGTCCTGAGCAACCACTTGTTATGAACATAAAAATCCTTAGCAACCATATATGTTTGTACTAAGAAGGCTATCAATAAAAAGAAAAAGGAAAGACCTTTCAATTGTTCATGAACAATTGACTTTTAATTATTACTATTATTCTTCCACCTTTTTTGTCCGAGGGATTTCTCGGAGTTTAGTGAACTAATCCTAATGAATGGTTACTATAATGAAGACCACCATCTGAAATTTGGCGAACCATTTTTGGAACTTTAAAAATGGCCGCCGTTACCATGGAAACAGAAAAAAATGTGAAAAATAAAAATTTCGGTTTGATGAATTATTTGAATATGCCCAGACGTAAAATCTTAAAATTTATATACTATGTAGATGTCCACTATATACAGGTTTAAATGATTTTGACAATCATCGGAACTACTATGTTGCCATGGAAACGACAGCAAAAATTTCAAAAATTTTAAAATGCTCCAAACTTGATAAAACTTCACAGTAATATTGACTGGCATGTGTAGTGGCATTTGGCTTTGGAATTTCCAAAATGGTCACCGTTGCCATGGAAACTGCAAAAATGTCAAAAATTTCAAAATGATCCAAAATGCTCTAAATGTTCTGAAAATTTACAGAAAGATGTATAGCAATGCATACATATGCATTCACTGTTTAACATTTTCAAAATGGCTGCTGCTTAGTGGCAATGGGGAAGGGTGAAATCCGCTATTGCTTGCAATAGCAATTCTAGTTATTATTCTTTTTCCTCCGCTAAAGGAGTAGGTCAGGTAAGGGCCAATTTTGGCCTCAAATTTAAGGTTCATATGACGAAGGATATTGGACACTTTTTGAACACTAAAGTGTCTATTTCAATTGATTCTATTAGTTTATGTGAAAGATTTTAACTGATTTAGTCATTAAAAACGCTCCGATTCAAGCTTAAATATGAAAAATATATCAAATATGCCAAAAAATGTCACTTTTCAGATGGTTTTTGTCAAAAATGAAAGTGGCCGCATCCGTGTTCATCCTCAACCTTTATATATGTTATGTATTATCATCAAATACAACTTACATTTCAATATTAAAAATGAACACAAATGCGGCCACTTTCATTTTAGACGGAAACCGTCTAAAATTTATCTAAAATGCTAAAATTGTGAAGATTTCAGTGATTAAGCCTGACTCAAGGATGCTAGTACCCGATATATGTGCATCGTATTGTCAAAAACAGCCCATATTTATGTAGCAGAAGCATTCTTCCTACCAATAAATAACTTAAAGTTTACATTTTAACAATTTTGTAAAACTGCTATATTTTGGGGACAAAAAGGGATCTTACTGGACCTACTCCTTTCAAAGTCAAAAGTCAAAAAAAGTTAGCGACATATCAAAATGATCTTTGGTACCAGGTATCGGGTTAATGAAATCTTTCTTTTGGTATGAGCACCAAAGAGTACTATTTAGCTTATAAGAGTTATCTCCACCATTCACAAAAACATTGTTTTTGCTTCTCTTCATAAACGATAAAAAAATGAAAACACGTAATAAATTTCATGCGTCCGAAGCGTTTTTCTGGATTTACCTTCATCAGGAACGCTCAAAGCCGAATATTTGAAAGCCAAGGATGTATAAGGACCGAAAACGTTAAAGAGCTATCAACCAAAAAGGACCTAAAAACAATAGCCAAATCCATCCAAGGCCAACTTTGCCTGAAGGAGTTAAAACCTTAGTTTCTGTATAATTTCCAAATTTATATACGGGCAATTTTAGATAGTTGGTTATAAATCATGTAGTTAGCGACAAATATTTTTTTTTAAATGTTCCTTAACCCATGTCGCAGCTTTGACTCAGTTTAATGAAGCGATCCATTGACTTCTTAAAGGAGTTATCTCCCCTTGAATATTTAGCCGTAAAGACCTAGGGTCTCTTTGATTAAAACACTTGGGCCAAAACATGAAATTATAGGTCATGGTCATGTTTTAGATTTTGACATTTCTTTGTTTCCCTATTATTTTCAAATGGTTATAGTTAGAAGAAATTTTTATAAATGGTGAAAAATGTCTGGGTCTTTAAGAGGCAACTTAATTATATTATGACTGTACTGATTTAACCATTATGTAAGGGCATAACCCCAATTGACGGTTTGCCAAAAGACGTTATTAGGAGTAACTCTTAAACAAGAGGTCCTAGATACATATGATCTTTTGCAATGACATCGAGGACCAATGACCTTGACAAAGGTCAAGATCAAAGGTCAAGATCATGTCATAAATGTCAAATTTGATTTTTTTTACCCTATCCTTAGGGTTTCGTGCATGTTTTAAAGCTTTTCAATGCCTTTTGCATCTGTTTCAAACATATATTACTTTCCGTAAGGGCATGACTCCAATTGACAGTGCGTGAAGAGATATTACTAGCTCCATGGTGTCCGTCAAAATCTCAAGAAATTATATTTACATAAAACTGCATTTTTTACAAACTATGATTGGACAAAAAAAAGAGAGACCCCTATTCTAACTTCTGATAAGCACTGTAGGTTTCAATTGAGCAATTATTTACAATGCATTATTCATATGGTACCTTGTCTGTTTGAATCCTGATAATAAAATTAAACAAAGAAATTGCATAGAAACTAAAGCCAGATGTTTTAAGAATTAATTTGATGCTATTAATGCAATGAATAACCAAGAGAATCGCATGCACTCCAGAAGGAGCGAATGAGAAATGAGTATAAGTACTCTAAAACAAATTTTAACATTCACTTTAAAATAAACATTTGGTGTCCTTAAAGTGAGAACCTACATGTCATATATTCCTTTCAACAGGATAATTATTAATACAACATATGCAATAAGGCTTGTGTCATAATTAGAGCTTGTAACTGATAATGAAGGATAATGAGTATAAGGAAATATAATATAGGCCAGTATTTCAGTTATTTTGTCAATTTGCCATTTAAACCCCAAGATATGGAGTTTGAAAACCTCAGTTGATCATATATTTTAGAAATGTTTCCTTATTGAGCTTACTGAGGTTAATTTCTGAGATAATATTACTTCAAATTATGAAGAGAAACAAGGTTCTTCTGTGATAAAGGAAATTATAATATCTAATTTTAAATCCACGATCAGTTATCTGTTTGGTACAAACTAGAGTTTCAAATGTTTGGTAGAAATCAGAGGAAAATATATGACATGTCTTGAAGAAGTTACGTGTGAAGACGCGTTATCTGTACATGTGATCTGAGAGTTGGCATGAAATTAAAAAAAGAATGGCCAACGTAGATTAAGGAATGAATAAATCATACTTGGTAAAAAACAACTCTCTGATTGAAACTATCAATTCTCAGCGACTAAGGACATGCTTATCAAAAATCAATCGGCATTCTTACAAGAACTAATTGTGCTCCTCGTCTTGCTGTCTTGTTCATTATTCATATGAGGCAAACTTCATACAGGAGCCTCTCATGAAATATAACACAAAATAGCATTATATTTTGACTTCAATCGCCGCTATATAGATGATATTCTCTCATTTAATAATTAAAAGTGTGACTGCTACGAGGAACACAACTATCCAATTAAACTGGAAATAAAGGATATCACACATACAATAAACTCTGCCTTACTTGACTTATAACTAGAAATTGTCAACAACGATCGGTTGAGATCATAACTTTACGACACAAGAATGAATTCAGTCTTCTAATTGAGAAATGGTAATGTTGATGTAGCAGCTGTTGATACGATATTCCAGAACTACCGTTTTCAATCATGATTTCTTTGATATAGGGTTATGTTTATAAGAAAGGGTTCAAAGTGGACAGGTTGAAAACGTTCCGTCGAATGTTCAACCGATGCCATCACCATTTGTTTGACCGTTATTGCATATATGTGCAAATTATGACTATGGATATGTTGCAATTGTTGTAACTACATTTCACGCTATTGGGACACCACCCAATGAGATTCATTATCACATTTGTACTGACCATCAGCAAAAAAAGGCGTTGCCACTTGTAGTCGGAATCTGTTTACCCCTCCAGAAATTAAAGGTGAGATCATCCTTTGTTTTTGGTGTGGTGAGCTCGATGCTCAGTCTTACTTTTTCAACAACATAAATAAAGTGTTTTTTGGACATGTTTATCATTTAGTCGTTTTTCGTTTTTCGCCATAGCTTTGTTAGATTATCTCGACTTATGGGTTTTGAATGTCGTCTTGCTATCTCCTTCCTCTGATTAATTGTGTTTTTGATTTTATATCAATTATGTGTCTGCTGCGCAAGATCTAATATTCATTCGTTATTTTTGTGCCTCAACAATAATGATTAGACAAAAAGTTTAATTAAAAATAACGAACTCTAAGGTATAATTAAAAAGAAAGAAGTCCATCAAACTATCGATGCAGTGCTACGGGTTATCAAACCAATAGTTATATATCGAACTCAACATGCCCACATATGTCATTCTGCCATTTATGATTGTAGTTGTTTTTGACACACCATAAAAGGTGTATATTGAACACGCGACAATTGGTTAGAATGTCTATGAACACAGAACATTAAGTCTGATGTCAAGTGATTCCGATTTTAAACCATACCATTTATGTTTGTTTGATATATCAACCATTTAAATATATGAACTCCTCTTATAAATTCTCAATCACTTCTGTTTTGTTCTGATTGAATTCAGATTATGCATAGTATGTAACAAACCAAGAGTTTTCCTTATTTGAATTTACCTTTTTTTCTCATCCTCAAAAGTAGACAGATAAATACACCGATAACTATTACTACAAACACTGCTACTAGTATTACCACTACAACGTCTTTTTCACTTGCTAAAATAAAATAGGAATAAAAGATAAATATACTTTTAATCCATTAACAATAACAATACAATATTAACGATATTGTAGTTTATTACATAATAATTAATCCTAATCATTTGAAATTTGTCTATCTATGAAAACTTCATTGTTGTGAATAGCAACTATCAATTAACTTAAACCCGATAACAAAATCCTCCTCCACCCCCAAATCCCCCCTCCTCCCCTTTTCCAAATCATCATCATCATCATCATCATCATCATCATCATCATCATCATCATCATCATCATCATCATCATCATCATCATCATCAGAAAAAGAAGAAGAAGAAGAAGAAGAAGAAGAAGAAGAAGAAGAAGAAGAAGCATCAACATTGTTTTTGTTATTACCTTTTAAATAAAGGCAATAGTAGTATACCGCTAGTATTATAGTAAAACATATAATTCAAAAGCTGTAAATTGTCAATTCGTGTCATGTATGTCTTTTCTGGAATAACCTATTTGAAAGGAGTTATTAAGACTTAATCTAATTAAAAATATAATAATTTTCAATTTAAACAAGGGGCTGTCTTTTGATAGGTGTTGATTGGGATATCCAGCCACTATGAATCTATATTACCTTTGAATCTTGTTAGCTGCATGACAAACAAAGTAAAGGCAGACGATTTGATATATACAATTTTAGCAATTCTGAGTTGAATTAAAGACATGAAAGTTTTTAATATTGATTTGCACAAGAATAATCGAACAATTAAGAAAAAGAGCACCCGATACAAACATAAATATAGATATGAATAGATAGCGAACTCATGCAATTGGATTTTTCTAGGTCCGTTTGATATTATATTTGTTTTACCTAAATGAGAATGGGTTTTTGTGGATCGAATCAGTCAATCAACTGGTTTACCCTTCTTTCACTTTAAACATTGCCATTCCTTTTCGTTTGATAACTGAACACGCCTAATTCAAGCGTAAACCATCTCTAGCTAAGGTGTTAAATTAAAGGTCACATGAATACAGATTAAATGAGGTCGAATTATTCACTTGCAAGTGAATATATTATCATCGATGTTTCTCAGCTTATGTTGACAAATTTGAACCAAACTGGCTGCTAAAGCGAATTAATATGTCACTATTTTACTTTCATTAATGATTAAACCAAAAAAAAATATTTTAAATTTTGTTTATATCTTTTAGCTAATGCCCCTTTAATATACGATGGACAAATTGTGTCAATCCGGCAGACAATATTCGCATAAAACAAATTAAACCCAGCGGAACACGTTACCATGTCAACAAGGAATCCAGCAACATACGTACCGAAAACATAGGGATAAAAACAAAATGGTTAGGAATAAAACTAAACACATGAAAATCAAAGGGTTAGGTAAGTCAAATAAAATAAAATCACACGTGAAGCCAGATGTTTTGCGACGAAAATGTTAATAAGTCGATTATAAAATAGTTTAAATCAAGAAATTAACTTAGCAAATTATGTCCATTATTGTTTTTATATAGTTGCAAAAAGTGGGAGTTTGATCTACGGAACACCAAAGCTAAATTGTGTGGCGATCTGACACTACGTGCTGTGATTTTAATAACCTAATGAAATTTTCCTTTACAATTTTGATAGAATGACTAACTATAGTTTTGATATTACTCAATATGATATCGTCATAACCGTATACTATACTGATAATACATGATAAGGTTGCGTTTCGATTTGATATAGTTTTGTCATTTCTTTATATGATTTCAACATTTATTAATGAGAGGCTAAAAATATCAAACGGACATTCAAACTCATAAGTCGAAAATAAACTGTCAACGCCATGGCTAAACAAGAAAAAGACTAACAGACAAACAACAGTACACAAATTAGAAGACTTAGTAACACGAATCCCACCAATAACTGGGGATGATCTCAGGTGCCCCGGAAGGGTAAACAGATCCTGCTCCACATGTGGCAGCTGTCGTGTACTTGCTCATGTTAGTACAAACCTGTTGATAATTTTAATTCGGTAGTCACTTTCGGGGAAAAGAGGAATGGATTGTAGTTACGCTAATTGGAACATATCCGTCGTCATCTGTTAAACAGATATTCTATAACGGCCAACCAGCTCACGGTGACTTTTAAATGTGATTGTGTCATTAGCAATGTAATTTTACATTACATGGTGTGTGTTTAATTTACAAAATAAAGTTAAATACAGCAGTTTTTATATTTCGCAATGAGGATTTATTAATTCATAGTATGGCTATATATCACACTTATCAATAAAAATGTATCCCTTTTAAATGTTGTATAAACATAACTAGCATTAGATATAGTTTAAGCATTAATCAATACAGATTTTGTGCGCTACTAAAGGCTCAAGGTTACATAAAGTACTAAATCGAGTTTGTGGGTTCACAACCCGGTCAGGTCAAACCAAAGACTTTAAAAATGGGATACGATGAATCTCTGCTAAAAAGTAAAATAACAAAAAATACCAAACTCCAAGGAAAATTCAAATTGGAAAGTCCCTTATCAAATGGCAAAATCAAAAGCTCAAACACATCAAACGAATAAACACAACTGTCATATTCTTGAATTGGTACAGACATTTCATTATGTAAGAACGCGGCATCAAGGATTAAGTGCACACACAAGTTGACTCGGAGTCAGACAAATGTGACCGCGTAGGTAGACATGTCTTCTTGCGGACTGTAACTTTGTGAACCAGCACGTTGAAAATCCGGCTCAGCGTGATGGTCCAGTACAATGCAGGGTTATTATTCATATATCGTTTTAAACATTTAAAACGTTCTTATCCTAAATTTTGCATTGAATTTTCTGAGCGTTTAATAACAATCCATCATCATCATGGTTTTGCCATAATTTGATATGGTTATCACATTACATCATAAGGTTAAATCAAGTGACAATTATGGCAAAGTATTTCTTTTTTTAAAATATATTTATATATCGAACGTGTTTTATTATGTTCCTTGGCTAAAAAAAAAGAACAATCTCAATTTGACCTATTTTGTACCTGTAACTGTTTTCGAGAAACAAATGGTCAAAATTATGTCCCAATTTGATTTTCGACTCTTTTTTAATTTCTTACTTTCGACGATTTTTGTGATTTTTCATAAATGATTACTTCTGCAGTTTGGTAAAATTAGTACCCCATATTTTTGGGGATCTTATGGCCGCTTTGCGGGATAAAAATTAAATAAGCCCAATATTAAGTAATTTCTAATCACTGGAAGACTGTGTACATGTTTGGTTTTTCCACCGATTTATTTAAGAGTTTTCTTTTACTTTATCTTGACGAATGTTTCAGCAACATTTTAACATATTTTTTCTTTTTTTAACCGCTTCAACATGAAGCGATTTAAAGAGACACAATACGCTTTGTTACTGGAAATTTAAAAAAAAATTATCGGGTTTCTGCATGGAGTATTTTTCTTTGTTTCTACGGAATTTATTACCCCTTAATTAAAAAGGAAACAATAGAAAGGTAGAACAAATGTGTTGGCCTTCTACAAATGTGTTGGCCATCTACTGAAAGCAATCTTCAACTCTTCAAGGGACATTAGAGAAATATTTCCCATGGATATGGATGAAAATATTTACATGTATTTACAGATTTAAAGTTCTAAAGGGAAAATTTATTGTCGACTTCAACCGCTTTTAAGTTAAAAACAGCACCAGCTCATAAACTAACTGATTTTTCTACGAGTTGCTAGACATAACTTTTTAAATTCTGTAAATTCAAAAATTATTGCTATTGTTCAACAATGGACACCGTGCGAGATCAATTATTGCGGTCTTAGGAATTACTGTATACACATAATGCTGCTTAAATTCAGAATTAAGAAGTTTTTGATTTTGCGAAACATATCAGTCGTAATTTTTGCAAATACAAAAACCATCGCAACAATCTCTGAATTTACAGAATTGAGTAAACATCAGCTCATAATTGTTAGCTAGTTCGTAACCTCCAGTAGCAATTATAACATTCATATCAAGACGAGAACACGATAATGAGATATGCATATAACCTCTGCTTTGTACTAGACAGACACGCTAGACCCGATATTTAAAGTATAAGTTCACAAGTTAATAGTACGAAAGTAAAAATATCACCATACCTGCACACATTATTCTAGCTTGGAGGCGACTGAATTTTGCTCATACTCATTAATAAGGTGTATGGATACATAAAGATTATTATATATTTGCAGCCATGTGTTATTATTGTAAGAAGATGATGTGTATTTATGTATGGATGTTGATTGCCAAGCTTCTCCCATATTGTTACAGTTTTAATTGCTTACGAACTAATACATTTTAAAGGGTATGTCCGATATAATTTGTATGTAGAAATAGTGCTGTGTCTGATGATAGCCTCTTGTTGCCCTTATTGTTTTTTTTATAACTTCATAACGAAATAGAAATATAATTAATAGTCACATTTATTTTGTTACCTGTTTTCCTGTTTTTACTCCTTATGTCCTGAAAACGTGTTCAACTTAAGTGTTATAAGCCAAGAAACATAATAAAACTGAGGACATGAATTTGCAATTAAAAATATGCTATCCAAAAATTGTCGCATGGCTTAACCTCACCAGGTAATGTGATGTAAACATAAATGAAGGGCAACACCACGTCATAGAATGGCAAAGCACTTTAATTACTTGAACCTAAACATCATATGATGTAAAGTTTTCCATGTATGACACAACATCATGTAATATTAAACTTATAAAATAGTGACCCTATTAACATTAGAACTCCATTGAATAACGTCTATGCAAGATTTGAAAGTGATAATGTCTTTTAGATTATTGTAATATCTAGCCATAACACAAATTGACGAATCCTCATTACAAATAATAAAATCACCGCAGGAAATGAAACACACATCACGTAATGTTATATCCATATTTCTTTATGACACTACCAAATCAAATAATGATGAAATCATATTCAACAATGAAGTTGCTTCACAGCCATTTCATGTTATATCAAAATTTCATTAGGTAATGACTATAATATCACATTGATTGATATCAACAAAACAATAAGTAACTTAAGCACCTTATTAAGCTTCGATTAACTGTAGTAATTTATACAATTGTACCATATCATGTAATAGTACAGCTGTGGCGTTCCACCGAAATCCTTTATTTTCCTCTAAGTTTGTGAAATGCCTTGTAGAATTTGTACCAAGTTAAGAATATGACAGTTGTTATCCATTAGTTTGATGTGTTTGAGCTTTTGATTTTGCCATTTGCTTAGGGACTTTCAGTTTATAATTTTCCTCGGAGTTCGGTATTTTTGTTATTTTACTTTTTCATGATAGATCTAGTAGTTCAAGCTTTCATGCTGATAAAATCTTCGTAAAAAATGTAATAGCAAAATTAGGAGATGCAATACTATTTATTTTCTAGTTTGTCAATCTGGTGTTTCATAGCTATCTTTGAAAAAAATAAAGAAACATGAATTTTCGTGCGAACAAAACAATACATTTTTTTTCACAAATGCCCACAATTTTGAATGAAATAGTCATTGATTTGTAATGCTAAGGGGTCCTGTCAAGGAGTTAGAGGGAAATGTAGGGGTTCACGTCCCGGTTTGAAATAAACCGAACATTGACATTAACTATAACATTGCTAGCGCTTGTGTTGTTAATTATATTTTTTTTTATATCTGTGGGTATTTTGAGAGCATAAAATATCAAATTTTGCATAAAGTACTTCCAAGACGGAAACGTATGGTGAGTTTATCGATTATGTTGACTATATGCTATATCTAAAATTGTTACAGCATTCCGCTCTATTGTTCAGTCACTGACACTTTGTATTGATCAACCGATTTGTGACTGTAAACGTAAAACTTGTTAGCTGACAAATCAGTCGTTCATCCTCACAACCCTGTTAAGACTTTTACTTTAAGAATACAACCCTCTGTATGATCATGCTAGTGGAACGAAACAATGTAAACATGTTAAAGTCTAACGATTGGATATGAAGAAGACTTTGTATTTCGGATGCCAAAAAGTTTGTCTCTTTAAAAATGTTTCGCAGAGGATAAAGATTTGTCAGAAATAAAACAAGTATTTAGATATTTCTAACAAAATATATCGGGGTCAGAGTTCTAGGAAAAATCTAAATTTAAATCAAAGTATTGATCTCAGTTCGATTTTGGAAAATGCAGCTGCCATATCTTGTAGAAAAAAAATGAACAAAGAATAAAGGCCAAGACTAATGTGTTGAACTGACTGGAGATCAAAGAGATTAATCTCCTTTTAATATTACTAATTGAAGGTTAGAAAAAAAAACACTTGTAGTTAATGAAATATGATTTATCCCTTTCAACCTATACTTACTGAAACCAGCAATGCACAAATATATATATATATATATCGGGAAAAAATGGAGCAATGGTCGAATTACATAAGGTTTAAGCAAGACTTTTGCCAGATTCTCATTCTTGTGTTGTCATAATGTATAATTGTCAAATGTCATTTTAAAAGATGGAAATTATTACAAACTTATTTTGATAACATTTGAGACAAAGATTAGGGTAACGAGTTCAATTCATTTGAAATAATGATGAGCCCATATAATGATTTTTTTACAAAAAAAGCAATTATTCATTGAACTTTGTCGTATATTTTAGAATCAAACTGTCCTTTTAACATGTTTAAGTAAGTAATCTTGTAAATTTCTATTTTAAAAAAGCTGTATTTTTGTAACTAAATATCAAATTACAGTTTCCATTGTTAGGGTCTGTATTTGAACTTGAACTTTCATCTGGTTTAGCAACAACACCAAAAGTGGTATTAACTTGAGAAAATTCTGAAATTAACAAACATAACGAGTTTCAATATATAAAACAAACATATGATGACAATATAATCTGAAAGATAGTAAAACAATAACATGATGTATTGGAAAAATGAAGACATCGAAGATACCAAGTGGAAATTAAAAACTCATAATCGCGAAAAAAAAGAAAGACAACGAAAATACAAATCAGTCTATAAAGCACTCAATATATAAATTTTTGACTAAGCAACACGAATCCAACCTAAAATGTAAAAGAATTTCAGGAATACGTTCTCATCTAAAATTATTAATTCTCATTCACGGTCATATGTCATAATTCCTACTCAAATGACCGAATTATTGCTCATAAGACAAACGTATGCAAATACGAGAAAAATAAAGGAAAATATTTTTTTCTTTTTTCGAACACTTGAAAATCGTCAATCTGGCATATTGAAAACCTGATGTATGCTGAACTCAATTTTAATCAATTAACTTGTATTTCTCAGGTCTAAGTGTCTGCATACGAACCTGATGTTGTTTTTCGCAGGTGTGTATACCTACATACGAACCTGTGTGTTTGCAGAATCTTCAATGTAATGCATACGAATCGAGGATGCTGTAACACATTGTGTTACCGTAATCCTTTACTTCAGTGGTTGTGTTTAATACCGATTTACAGTTTTACAAGTCTATGACTGACCTCTATATTTTTTCCCGTCAGGTAAACAGTAGAGTTAATTTTCAAAGCAATTTTTTTGTAAATCTGAATGATAACCGATTCTCAAGTTCCACGACTATGATCACTTGATTGACATGCATGTTATTTGTTTTGTTTTTGCATATTGAAATCACAGAGAAATGAGGCGATCAAAATTTGTACTTCTGTTCAAGTTGTTAACAACATTAATGACGTCAGGGACCTTGTGACGTAAGGCGGAGGGAATCACAGAGGGCCTTGAATTGCGCGAGTTACTTTCAGTAGCATGAGTTCGAATCCCGGCCTGGGAAGAACAAAAATTTGCTTCCGCAAATTTACAGATCTAACATTGTTGTGCTGTTATTTAGACGAATTATATATACAGAATGTGTTTTCAGCCTTGTATCACCATCACTGGTGAGCCGATGGATAAAATCCGTCGTAGAGTTGTCACTGGATCAGACGTACTTATATATAATATGTCTTGAACATGTTATTATTTTATATAAGTTATTACTTGTACAGAAAGTTTGTACGAGTAATTACTTGTATGATGCCCTTATACAAGTTATTACTTGTACAAATATAATTGTACACGTAATAACAACTACAAATTTTGTTGAGAAAAAGATAATAACTTGTACAACTCACTATGTTTGAGTTATATTTGTTTCTTCCTCCTGTTTTATTTTAAATGTTTTATTAAACAAATTCTTTCTTTGGGTTTGTTATTTTGGTTTTGTCATTGATTTTAAAAGAAAAACAAACGATATGGGTATCCATCCATGACACAAAAATCAGTTCATGCACAGCAAAAACAAAAAAAACAAACAAAAAGCAAAGGAACCGCGCTTTTGTTGCTGTTCTTCATCTCAAAGTCACAGTGAGGCCTTCAATACGGAGCAAAAAAAACTCTCACATCACTGCAAGTTAGGTTTGAATTTGAATAGTTTGTTGGTTATTTTTTTCTTTTACTATTTTTTTCTTTTTTTTTTTTTTTGTTTATTTTTGCTTAGAAGTCATCATTCAGCGTATGCATTTTTGAAATTTATATTGTGTTTGGTCTTATTTTCTTTTTTCTGATGCAGTCAGTATAATTTTGGTTTGTGATCAATTTATAAAGGAAGCTTCACTTAGGTAACGGCATGCATGATGTCACAAATCTTTACTCTGATTGGACGAAATAACGGAATTAAAAAAAAAAAGACAAAAAGATTTATGCTACAATAAAAGGAAAACATTACGGACATAAAATCAAACTTAAAAATATTATCCAGATAGATAAAAATAAAGTTCAGGTAAAGAAGGTGTCAATAAGTTGGCACGGTAGTATTTACATTCCGGATTTTAGGTTGCTCTTTTGTGTAAGTCAATGTATCTGAACAGTGTGATTAGACAAAAAATACAGTATCTACTGCACATACTTTCCCAAACTGAGGGATGAATCAGGTGTAGAAAAATAGGTGGAAATTAATTTTTTGAAATTTTGTATTCACTGCATGATAAAAGACGTAAAAACACTAGTGGCCTTAGGTTTCTAAAAAAGGAAAAAAATTACTTGAATTAACTGTGTATGTAGAATTGTGGACAGTGTTAGAGAGTGGTGAAAATTCTAAAAAGGCTATCATTATCCCTATGGGCCATGAAATACTACTGTGCAACCATTATCACCACTGTTAAACTGTTTGGATTTTGTAAATATCACTGACAGGTTCATTAGATCTACCAGGTCTACTGATGTACTAATTTGTTGTGAATATCAAATAGCCAAGGTAGAATAATGAGTTGTACAAGTTATTATCCTTTTTTCTAAATAAAAATTGTACAAGTAATAACGTGTACAAAATAATAACATATATACAAGTCTAAATTGAAAACAACCTTCAAACCTATGGTTGCGTTGGATAAAAACCGCAATTTTTATACGTGTGCATGTGAAACAAATTTCTTGGTAGAGGGGTCTAAATACAGCACAAACAACATTTTCCAAAAGACCAAAAAAGAGAAGAGTATATTTTAACAAATCGCATTTGACTAACAGGTCGAACAACTGATATTCGTAAACCCTGCTGACTGTCATTGACGATTGCCAAATAAATTGATCACGAGATGTAACATGGATCTCAATTATTAATTCAATACCAAACAGAAAACAATAAACTTGCAGAGAAGATGGTATACCACAAACATGAGGTGCAAAAATTTGTACACCATATCCGGATTTCGACAATTAATGTTTTTTTCAGTGATGTTAGGGATATATGTATATATAATATGTAGTTTCCATTTCTCGTTTCAACAATTTTCAAACAGTGGCTATACCTTTTTCATGTAACTATTTATGTGTTGCTAATGAATTGAATTGTAACAATTCTTAGTGACTGGACATGTTAAACCAATTCCTTCCCTGAAAACTGCAACACCTAAAAACAGCACCTGACCTTTTCCCGTTCCTGCTAATAAAGAAAAAATGGCCCCACTAGAAAAAGACGACACATAGAAATAGCATCAGATCTTTGGCATTCCTTCTTGAAGGATTTATTTTTCAGAACTCATGTGTATATATCACAATTTTTACCATTGCATTACTATAATCACTGTAATTTTCATATCTAAGCAAGTCCAGTTAGATATCAACTTATGATATTCAGTCAAGACAGATCAAAGTAAATTGTTTAAATAACCGATAATTGAAGTACATGTTTGTCATACATCATTGTACATCAAGTTGTATACAGACAGACTCTCCCCTAAAAGTTTTAAAAAATACATCTTCGCTAGCCAAGGGATATGATCCAGTGGATAGTCTGTGACTGGATCGTAACCCTTGGATAGCGAAGATGTAAAAAATACCAAACAAAAAGTTTGTCATACACCATGTTGACATGCAGATATGCTGTATCTATTTAGTATGCATTTTGCCATTTGAACCAGAATTAAATATCCATCAATTGGAGTTACTAACTGTGAACATGATGAAAAATAATAGTTTAACCATTTAAAATATGAATAAAACATACAACTGGTTAGAATGCAAACCGTTCAGCTTGCTAAATAAGCAATACGTTCCACCAAATATGAAGACATTTTTTTGTCTGGAGACAAACCCTACACAATTACACTAGGTACATTGTAAAATCACAACTCTTTGAACACCAGCCTGGTTTTCCCATACTAAAATGTATATAAAATGTATATAAAACTATAATGCAATAGAACACAGGTCGGTATGCAGGCAATTAGATCGGGTATATCCAAGTACATAAAATTAGATTACCGTGAACTAAAAAGGTCTTGACAGGAAATATGCAAACTTTTAAATGTTCAAAAGTGTATCTATAGGTCGGTATGCTGACAAACATACCTATGCATTCCACTTTTAATTTCTTTTCACAAGAGTTTATCGCAAAACGGGTTGATACACGAGTAAACCCCTGAGTGTGGCAGCTAAAAATTGAGAGCTTTCTGTCAAAATAAAAAGGAGTTGAAGGCTATGCATTATTAATTGCTTACATCCATGTCATTTGGCCTTTGAGAGATGTCTCTTTCGCAATCATAGAACACCATCTCCTTATTTTGATAAAGGTTAGTTAAGCCGAAATAAATAGATGAGAAATGTCACTACATTTTAAATGCTTTGCATTCAGGCATACAGACTTGCCACTACAAACATGTATCAGAATAAGAGTTTAAAATCCAACAGGCATACAGACCACAGCTATGCCAAAATAAATAATGCTGATGGTTCTACACACATCAGATTTGTATGCAGGCATACATACCTGACACATACTAGTATACACATAGTGAGAGTTTAGCATACGCCAGGTCGGTATGCAGGCATACAGACTAATAAAAGACATTTGTTATCTCCCTTAAAAGTTCAGCATACACAAGATCTGTATGCGGGCTGACAGACATGCTATATGTACATGTATTAGTTACATGAGATATGAACATACAACAGGCCTGTATGCAGAAATAGAAACCTGACACATTCAAGCAAGAGAGTAAAAACTGAATTTAGCATACTATTCACCCTTAAACATTTGATATAAAGATTGATAAATGCAATTTTGTATACATATTGCAAAAATGGCACAAAAGTATAACAAAAAGGTAGAATGAGTAATTTATGAAGGTTTTATTGCTTCATTTTTTTTTCTTAGTGTTGAAATAGTTCATTGTAGCATCCTATGAAAAAGGGTAATGCTAAAATGATGTATAGTTTGGATCTTGCTTTAACGGAAAAGGACCTATATGACAATCAGGCAAAAAGATGTAGCTTTATCACACAAAAATGAATTAAGTTGCATATGAGAATTTCTAATTTTACTAAGTAGATGAGAACGTATTCGGGTGATCAGGAAGGGTAAAAAGATCGATCCTGCTACAATAGTCTCAAGTTACTAAAGGTCAGTAAAAATGTAGTGATAAGTCTAATACGGTGATGTCACAATCTAGAAAAACAATTCAGGATTGGTGTTACGACAATTGGGACAAAGATGATTTATATAATCCAACCAATTCATAGTGTCGTTCGTTGAAAAACGTTTGAAGGAATTATTTAAACTTTGCAAGTTTAAATCTTTCTTCAAAAGCTCCCTTGGAAGCAACAGCCTTCTTTCTAGGAAATTATTATACGAAAGGCGAACTTTGGTCGGGTTGTTGTCTCTTTGACATATTTCCCATTTCCATTCTTAATTTTATTTGTAACGTCCAAAATTTATTTAAACTCATGATCATTTGCATATCATGTGTTCTTGAGGGGAAAAAATATAAATTATGTGCTATCCGTGAGCGGAAATCTAGGATCAAATTTCCTTCGAGGAGTGTCAAAGTTGTTTCAGAAAATTACAAAATTTTATAAACTTGACATTTACAGACAAAATCTATTATTCAAATGATGCATTTAACGAAGCACTGACTATGTAGCAGATGGTACCTTTGAGAATTTACATTCAAAAAAGATTGTTTTATCTGTTACTACTAGGTCTGTTAATACTTTGACTTACACATACAATTTTAAAAGTCCGGTCGCTTAAGGACTATCATGTACGACTATAAATATGATTTTGATTTTCTACCTTACTATTTTATCATATTATAATTCCAGCAGCATTTACACTCATGACTAATTGTGCAGATGTTAATTGCTTACAAGGAAGCTTAGTGATTATGAATTAAAGCGAAATTATCTTTAATACCGGTGTTCAAATGTCCTAAATAGATTATGAATAAACGATAACAAACAAAAACTGAGGATATCGCGCGAAATTATAGACAAAACTACAACACTGGTTTCTGTTGAGACCACGAAAACATGTTGCTAGTGAGTTGAGATACCGACACTACGTATCGGACAACCAATTCCTGATAGTGACTGTAAAATGTATGTGTCAGTCATTCTTTGTCGTTACTCTTCTGAGCATTTTTTGTGGAAGGGGTACGCCTCTGTTTAGAAATTATCTATCATTATTAAATAGTACAAATCATACTCCTCTTGAAAAACCGCGGCTTTGTCTGTTTTTATAGTGATTAAGATTATAACACAATGTTGACTGCTGTACCCCTATTTTTGACATTCTAACCTATTATGTCTGGTTTTGTTTGTTCACACATCGTTGTCAATACAATGGAATTTGATGCGACTGTCATACAAGTGAGAGGTTTAGCTAGCTATAAAACCAGGTTTAATACACAATTTTCTACATAAGAAAATGCCTGTTCCAAGTCAGGAATATGACAGTTGTTATCCATTCGTTTGATGTGATTGAGCTTTTGATTTTGCCATTTGATTAGGGATTTTCCGTTTTGAATTTTCCTCGGAGTTCAGTTGTTTTGTGATTTTACTTTTTGATAATGGTTATTTGTCAAAGCAACGTTACGGATTTCACCTGTCATTAACTATGTACCCTTCCAAAGCGCTTGAATTCGTTCCCGGTTAACGTCTTTTAAAGTATTGCTTAGTCTTTAGTCTCATTTAAGAATCGTGTAAACTATTGTTTGGAGTTTTCGGGGTTTTTTCATGGTATTTCCGTCTTTTAACGCTCTTTAAATTTTTTTATTTAAATTGACCTGTTTGTAACATCTTTCTCTTTTGCCATTATCAAATATCGTAGTGATTTTGTGCGGGTCTTATGTTTTCATCGATAAGTGGTCTATACATCCTTGAGGGAGGAAAGGGTAAACCCAATTTTATTTCAAAAACATATTTACATTTCTCGGGTTTTTATGGGTTTTGTTTGGGGGGGGGGGGGGGGGGGGGGGGGGTAGGGTTTTGTTATTAACAGTTGCAGATAATATTTCAAAATAGAACTTTACTTACTATTTGTATTATATATTATTGTTGCTGTCATACTGTGTATAAATCCATTGCTGTTATAATGTACTCTGCAACTAATAATTTCTCCGGTCGTATAATTCGTGTTCGTAACTGTTAAAGTGAATATTTTACAATCATTGTGGCATGTACATTTTTTGGTGTTGCATAATCCTTGAATATGATAACAACTACCGTTGACAGCTTTTAAACTATCAATAGATATATTGTTGTAAAGGAAATCCGCTGAACAATCAGTAGTTTCAATCGAAGATTGACACTTAAAGGTCACATTAGTGATGTAGTGAAATTCTTCCGGTTCAGCTGATAATGACAACCGCGATTCAACTTGTGATTCAGCTGAAACAAAAAAAAGTTATCATTGCTTAATTAATACAAGACAAGAGGCTCCTATATTGTTAAAGCCTGGATCGCTCATCTGGAATGTTTTTGTAGATCAATGATTATTTATCTGTTTTTGAATTGTATATTAATTTAGGTGCATGTCATTTAAAGTTTCTAAACGTAAACTCAACAGTAATACCGAACTCCGAGGAAAATTAAAAACGGAAAGTCCCTAATCAAATGGCAAAATGTAATGCTCAAACACATCATTCGAATGGATAACAACATAGTCGATATTCTAGGCAGATAATTGCACAATTTCTTTTCAATCAACAAGATTTTTTTAAAGAAGAAATTATAGGTCAGGCTAATAAACAACCAGACCATACACTTTACTTTACAGTGTTTACATGTTAGAAACAACAAATAGTCATTGCGTTGGTGGTTTGATATACACGAAATGCCAAATGATACATCGTATTTGTAAATTTTCATTTTATATATTATGTTTTGTTAAGGTTTGTGTGAGTTTAAAAGTTTTCTTTTTTTACTCCAAGAATATTTGTTGTAATAACAGATTGAGTATACTTGATCAATATTATTCATGAAAACCATGAAATCGGATTATAGTATTAATATTAATTTATTGAGTGAATATCTGTTTATAAGTTAGTTTTTTTACAGGTAAGTCTTTTATTCTTATGTGTCATTTTATATGAGTTGAATTAAAACCTTAATAGCTTTCTAAAAGTGCAGAAATTCTTACCTTTGAATACAAATAAATACACATTTATTATGAAAGCTATCTTTCTAACGTTGTTCATGATAATCAAGGTTAGTGATAACTTGATTCCAACCTGTCACTGTTTCTCTCATATAGATAGATCTATGAAACAGAATAAACACTTTTCGTTACATTATAATTTAGTGATACAAAACCTGGATATAACGAATGAAATAACACGCATTTGAAAACAACACAAATAACCAACAGATATTTAGAGATTATACTTTTCAACATGAGATATACTAAGTGTTTATGCATCATGTCAAGTGATATATAGCTCCAAATCGAAAATAGTTGTTAATAAAACCACCACATTTTTATAGTCACACAATATTATGATTAGACTTAAGCCAACAATTTTTGAAGGCTTTGAACATGTAGATGAACAAGATTGATTGATTGATTGATCGTTTTTTAACGCCACTTATGACACTATTGTGCTATTTCGTGGCGGTCAGTTTTTATTGGTGGAGAAAGTCGGACGGCTCGGAGAGAAGAACCGACCTAAGGTAGGAAAACTGACTTAGATAATACAATTACTGTCTTTTGATGAGGTAATTATATAGTTTTTTTTACTTTTGAAAAATCAACCGGATACTTACTTAGACCAACGGCCGACATCACTATCAATTTTTCAAAACTCAATTAAACCATATATTTACCGAAACAAGAGACATTAATTGTTTTATTTCGTAGTCCGAGAGAAAAAAAATGTATGTAATGGCAATTTTAACAATTTGAAATCGAATTGTACATCAAACGATACTTGTAAAAAGCACGCGACGTTTTGCTCGGTGAATATTCTTTTTCCACAGGTGAATATGCTGTTCTATTTAAAATCCAAATCATTTGGATATCATATAATTCATATACATGTATATATATATAAAAGAGATAAAAGAGATGATTTTTCATTTCCTATCGTTAATTATCCATTTTTAGATGGTGACGTTCCCTTGTCACCATCTTATGGTGTTTATATATCTCAATTTGTACGATTCGCTCGTGTATGTAACAACATATTAGATTTTAGCGAGAGAAATTTATGTATTACTGAAAAATTATTACACCAGGGTTTTCGATATCATAAAATAGTCAAAACATTTACTAAATTTTATCATCGGTATAAGGACATCATTCGTAAATATAACTCAACATGCAGACATCTTCTACGTTCGGGTATTTCACATTCAATCTTTTATGGTAATATTCTTTACAAAGCACAAAAATGTCAGTATTTACCTCAAAAGCTAACAAAACCTTTAAACATATTCTTATATATTAAGAAGGGATATAGTTACGATACTGTTGTCAGGTCATTAAAGATTGCATATTTTGGCTTTAATATTGATTCACTTATAGGGTCTTTGCATCGGAATTAAACATATTTATTCTAAAACAAGTTGTTGGCATGACACGGGTTATGTTCTGCTCATATATTTTATGATGGTATAATACTAAACCCCTAACAGGAGGGATTGTGCCTGATATTCATATGATGAAGACATACACTCTCAATCAGTTTAATTGAGGTCTGGAGCTGGCATGTCGGTAACTGCTAGTAGTCTGTTATTATTTATGTATTATTGTCATTTTGTTTTTGAACAACTTTTTGAATTTATGAATGCTGTTGTAAAATAACTACCTCTTTGGTGCAGTGATACTGTTATTCTTCTGTGTATTTTGTGTATAGTATAGTAGTAATTAATAAATTTATTGGTAAGAGCATTATTAAGACATGATAAAAGGGCACCCACTATTTTTTTTCCCTAAATGTCTTGAATTTTCTTTTCTCAACACTGCTATGAAAGAAACGTGCAGTGTTAAATTTTTTAGATGCTTTGTGCTTTTGAAATCATCACTGAATAGTGCAAAATTCATAGGAAGAAACAGTTCAATAGTTGATTTAGCGGCGGTAACAGTATAGACGTGCATTTGATGTACGCCGATTGAATTTAGTTAGTAGAAAAACAAAACGTTACGTAGAATAATAAAGAAACTGTGATTTTTTACTTTCTAAAATAAATCCTTTTGCAGATATCAATCGAATACAACAAATATCAATCGAACACAGCAGATATCAATCGAATACAACAGAACGCTAATAGCACATCAAGATATTTATCATATCTGGAAATATAACTTTCAAATTAATCTAAAATTTGTTCTTCATATAAAAGGCATTGACATCATCGATACTACAAAATTGAAGTCAATGATAATGAAAATTTAGACAAAATATATGATATTAACTTTAAACAAAGGTATATTTTCTATGATTTATTGTATTGGACTATGAATTTTATCAATATTTATGTTAGGGGCAATAAGTGAAATTAGGCATTAAGCTTAAATCCTAGGGAATAAAGTAACGCCTAGGCAGTAAGTCTATTGCCTAAATAATGTTAGGCGTTACTCTTAAATCCTAGAATTTAAACTTAAATCCTGAACATTATGTCCAGGCATTAATGTTAATACCTAAAATGAAAATGAGAGAAAATAAAAAGAAATTTATTCAAAGTAAAAATACATTTTGTACATAATAGAAAAATAAGAACTGAAGTTTGAATGTCAATTACATGAATTACATGAATACAAATCATAAGTAAAATATTGATGTTAAAACTCAATGAATAAAACTGTTAAAATATATGTAAACTTGTTGGATAATTGTTTTATTAGCAATGGTACTACATCTCCTTATTTTTATATTGATAGATAATTGTATTACAATTCATTTATTACCTATTGGTGCGGAGTTATGGCACAGACTATTTCTGTTTTAATTTTTTATAGGGATTTGTTCCTGGTGATCGTCCAATATATATCTTTGTGTAGAGCAGAATTCTTTTGTATATGAACAAATTTGATTCTAATGACCACTTTTTATTCGTTGTTCCTCATCTATGCAGTATGCAGCATGTCAGGAATATTTCCGTTTGACCACTCAATACTAGCATGTGATTGGAGATGTTTTGGCTTCCGGTAAACAATAACTAGTTCTATACAAATACTAAGGATTTTCTTATTCCAGACATAGATTACCTTAGATTTGGCACAACTTTTTGGAATTTTGGGTCCTCAATGCTCTTTAACTTTATACTTGTTTGGCTTTCTAACTATTTTGATCTGAGCGTCACTGATGAGTCGTATGAAGACGAAACGCGCGTCTTGCGTATCAAATTATAAGTCTATTACCTATCTAACTATCTAACCACATTAGCATTTATTCAGATATAACTTTAGCTGTAAATTCACATCCTTTGTCCCTTTGCTGTTTATATGACACACCAATTATTGTGAAAACATAAACTAAATTAGAAACCACTTTTGAAGCACTTTTTGACGTAAGAGCTCTAGTAATGTATTTGTTATGGGATCTTGGTACACCATAATGAAAACATAGTTTTTATCTTACTTTTATCGGAAATCGAATAAATCAACCTGTCCTCTTCTATAAAACTCTTTGGATAAAACGGGTTTTAATACTACTCCCTTCTCTATGCATATTTTATCATGTTACAACTTTTACAAAATGGAAGAAACAGTACAATTGAGTCGTGGAAAATGCTTGCAAAGCCATTATTAGATTGTTTAACTATACGTTTTATAATAATAATAGACCGCTTTGACATTTCTTCGTGTGTTTTACCCAAAATACCATACAGTTCCTCTAGAAAAATATAAACTTAGATATTTCCTTCAATATTCTCTATTACATTAGTTACCAGTCTTTCAAACATCCGATGGTAAAAAATTGTTATACCATTTTAAATTGTAATAGTCTATAGTTGCCTTATTTTCTGATTTTGAAAGTTTGATCTTTGCCAAATGATCATTGTACTTTTGCCTTTGGTATATGATCTTTGTTTTCCCTGATATTCCGCAAAGAATAAAGAATTTGTTGTTTCTTAAATGCCAATAATTCAGATTATGAAGTGAAAAAACAAGATGGGTATTTTAGAAAACTAACACATCCAATAAAACAGATGAAAAGATGACTGGCAGATTTTTTAAAATTTTTGACCAGCTCAAAGCTGCTCGAGAAATACGAGTACGTTCTGTTTTAAATACAAAAAATTAAAGATCTTTTAAGGTAACACGATACTGAATGTCATATCTCCCGATTCCTAAAGTTTTTTACACCCTGGTACTTTGAAAAGAGTAACATCGGAAAATGAAATAAAAAGTGTTAGACTATCACATGTATCATGTGTGCTGTTTTAAATGCATATCTTGTGTGTGTGTGTGTATCCTATTAATCACACTGGCATTGAGACACTGTGCAGTATGACCGCTGGATATATGTACCCCCGAAGGGTTGAGAAAAAAAGTAAAGTCGGGTAAGGTCAATTCTTCTATTTTCATTATATTCTACATTTTGGTAACACGTAAAGTTTTGTTATACTGATTCCTAATTATATAGCTACTATTTAGGGTTATGTTGAAGTTTATGTATAGGTTAATATGCTTCTAAAATCATGTGGATATATTTTCGAAACTAATTGTAAATCGAAGGTAAAAAGTGGACTACATTTTTAGCCTACCATAACCCCTGGATAGATGGCTGGTTTTTTTTTAACAGAAATTCTCAGTCTGGTACCTGGACGACTAAGGTATTTACATACAGGAACTTTTCAGATATACGTTTATATATACTAAAAAATAAAAGGTAATCAGAAATTAGGGGAAAATCATTTAGATATGTTATCCTGACTAAAAAAGTAGAAAATCGGACTTAAATGATATATTTTAAAATTATTTAAAAAGATCTAAACCGTGTTTATTACCGATGTTCTCACTCTCAAAAAATTCTACACACTTTCATTTAAACACTATTAACTGCATTTTCTTTAAAAATAAATTAGCATAGGTGTACTGAAAATTCAATATTCTTTTTAAATCACCCATATGTAGGTTGACCTAAATATATCTCATTCTTTGTTTGAAGTTTTATATGTATCTCTTTACTCAAAATACCGAAATGATTCATATCCTTATAACTTAAACTTTTAACCAAGTATGAAAAAATCAAATCATAACTGAAAACATCAAATGGTATTACGCTGTACTTACATATGTATTGTTATTCATACAGCCATGTCTAAACAGTGTAGTGAATTGTTTTCATTCCATGGTAACAGGAAAATACTGACATGGGGCCATTGTGTAGTATCACCGCCGGATATAGGTGTCCCCCAGAAGCGGTGGAAAAAGTCAGGTACGGTCAATTCTTCATATTTTCATTATATGTTACGTTTTAATGACTAGTAAAATTTTGTGGTACTGATTCCTAATTTTAAAGCTATATTTAGGGCTGATTATGATCCTTTATTTGATTTCTCTCTCTACAAATCAATAGAATCGGACATGGGTACCTGTTCAAAAAAACATACGACGAGTTAAAACTTGTTTATAGTTGTTTACTGTACGGGGATTAGAGATTCTTTTTGTTATCAAATCTTTCTTTGTTTCGGGGTACCTATATCCGATTGTGATGCCACACAATTAAGGGGTTGGGATTGTATTGTGACAGTATTTGTAAAGTGTCGGTCGATTAAAAATCATAAAGTTGATATTCGTAGGATTTTAAAAGTATTAACTATATGTAAACAAAGATTTAAGAACAGTTTCGGTCGAATAAAAGATTCACCACAAAATCAGTCTATGGAAAGTGCGAATCGAAAAAACTGTTTCTTACGTGAAGTGGCGATATATCTTAATATTAAATTAAAAGTTTGCAGGTATTTCATGAGAAAACGATGTTTTAAGCAATGAACAATACGCTTAATATTAAAATAAATCTCAAACGAAATAAACTAAAATAGTTATACAAATCAATGGAGTAGGAAATCTATAATTACCTGCTTTTTGAAAGTTCATCTGTTTAACGGGAAGAAACAAGGCTACATTTCGTTATGGATATACAAATTGTGAATATGTCATGTATAATAATTCAAACACACCACAAGTCTGAAATATGATCAATCGTAAAATAATAGCAAAAGTTATGCCCGTGAAAACAATCCAGTGCTATGTTTTTCTAATGTAAAAAAAATTGGTACATGCTTTTCACTTTATTGTAGATGCTGTATTTTTTTTTAAATGTAAAAACTTTTGTAAAAACAGTATTTTTCAATTTTGACGTTTAGTTCTATTTATATGAGGTATCAATTTTTACATAAATAGTATTAAAGACTCTTTCGAATTTCTTAATTAATCTACGAACATTATTTTATTAAATAAAAGTTGAATATACATAATTAGTCTAAAGTTCTTACTGAGATGTAGAATAGTATTTTTCATAGCCTGGACAAAGTGTAACTGTACACCAGTCTTTACTTTGAATATGTAAATTCAGATTCAGGTTTTATTGTTAACCTATTTCATCTTATTGTTTCCCTGAATATTTATTTATTTGAAGAAATAATATTTCTTTGTCTCTGTGGCTAGGAACAGCATGTCAATTTGGATGAATAATAATAGAAAAAAGCACAATAACAAAAAAACTCAAGGGAAAATTCAAAACGGAAAGTCCCTTAACAAATGATAAAATCAAAAGCTAAAACACATCAAACGAACGGAAAACAACTGATATATACCTTACTTGGTACAGGCATTTCCTTATGTACGAAATGTATGGATTCAACCTGGTTATATATCTAGGTTAACCTCTCACTTGTATGACAGTTGCATAAAACTCCACTGTATTAACAAGAACGTGTGAGCAACACAAACAGACATAATAGATAAAAATGTCAGAATTGGGTAAAGCAGTCAACATGTCATAATCTTAATCTTACTATAAAAACAAACAATTAGGTCTACAAAGAAAAACAAAATGGCATGAAGACACTCTATTGACAAAGCACATCAGCAAAAATAAAAGATAAGAATACAAAAAATTAACATAGCACACTAATACAATTGCGGGATGTATAAATACCGAACCACACCAAAAGGATATTACCAAAAATAGACTAAATACATGTAGTATAGGCTAATAATAAACAAAGACAAATAAAAGAACACTATAACACGTAATTATGATGATTAACAACGTCAATACCTAGAATCTATACTTCAATATCATCGGGTATTATTTGTGAAGTTGATACATAATATTCATCAACAAGGTCTTGAAATCTTCCGACGAACAATTTGTTTTTAGAAAAAGTAGAGACGGTGTGTGTACTTTTACAAATTTTCCGCTATCCTTATGTCTTTAATCATGTTTTTAATTTCAATGTTTGAAATATATGTATAACTGGTAGTTGTTATAAAAAGACCGTTTCTATGTATATTGGCGTTTGTTTTTCGTAGCAGTTCAGTATTTCTGTTGTTGCGTTGTATTTCTCTAATAGTTGATGTGTTTCCCTCGGTTGGTTTTGGTTTGTGACCCGAATTTGTTTCAGTTAAGTCAATTTATGACTATTGAACAGTGATATACTACTGTTGCCTTTATTTGTAAATCATAAAAGTCATGGAAAACAGTTTCTTTTTACTATTAATGCAAAGAAAATTATTGAACCAATTCAAGCATACAAAAATACTAAAAAAAAGTCCTATGTACTTGTTTTTTTTTTATTTTACATTGGTTATAAATCAATAACGTATTATCGACAATGGTTATTTAATTAATATGTGATTATTGATCAAAAACTTTGACTGCTAATACAATTCAAAGTTTTGGTGTCGAAGTTTACCGATCGTTGCCTATTGACAAATAATTATTGCCACTAATTGTAAGAGTTGCTGTCCATCTATTGCAGTTCTTTTAAAATTCTGATCATTTGCAGTTTGTCTTATCAAACCACTTTGTTCAACTGGTCAAAAATATTAATCAATTGCTCTCAAGAATACCTAACTCCAATGTAAATTCAAAAAGGGAGTTTAACAAAAAATGTCTAAACCAAACGTTAGACTTTTCAAAACTTCTTCTATATTCATAAGAATCAGACAAAAGTTTTCATTTAAGCATGCTATATTCATAACGAAAAAGTTGGTGAAATTTCAATATGTTGTTTCCAAGTGGGATAATCTCAAATCGTTGATCTTTTTAAAGAATGATCGTTTTGCCCTTGAAAACTTAAGAGAATATTTTAAAGCTTAAAACATTAAGTAATATAGATATTCATTTAACGAAAGCTTTGTAGCGTGTATAGACAATCAAAATTATTTTAGAAGGAATATTTCAAAAACTTACGTAGAACATTTTTATAGGAAATCAAAAGGTACTACTTCTCAACATTCGAATGACTCTACAATAACAATCTGCAGATATATTTATAACTAAATTTTCGTAATAGCAATGAACTGGACTTACTGTCTTATATGATTATAAGTATGCTTTATCTTATCATGTTGTAGGTTGATGATTTGACTGTGGTTTTCTACATCAGTTGGTGATAACGTCTCAACAGTTGAAAATGTACAGTTTATTTTGATAACGCATTTTACAGTTAGGTCAGTAAAGACTATAATAGGTGGAGAGCAACACTTACATTCAATTCACAGTAACACAGAATCGTTGAGCAAGTAAGAAACAAGTGAGATAATAAACCGATGTATGTGTGTTTTTATTCATATGTTTAATGCAGGCGTTCCCATTGTTGATTAACATTTTAAACTTAGTGTAAATAAGTTTGTAGTTTTGGCTGGGATTTTATTTCAGAACCAATTAATTCTATCTTTTTTCAACGTTTGTTTACCTTTTCATTCATCACAAATTTTCACTTTCAATTGTATGCTGTGATGATGCCGAAGAGAACTGCATACGAAAAATCTGTCGGTGAATAAGAGAACATGAATACAATAAATCAATTAATTCCATATTTGTTACGAAAACGTTGGGTTTTGCATACATGTAATAACCTCAAAATTGTCCTACTCATATTGCTGCCCGGGGCAAAAAAGTGTTTATTGGTTATTGTGCCCCGATTCCAAAAGACGTGACGTCATTGCGTTCTAACGACAATGGCGAACAATGACGAAGTTTGTATTGAAAGTTATGAGAATTTTGCTACAATAGCTACTAGTAACAATGTGCAACTAACTATTATCGATCTAGCGTCAGTTATGCCAAATAATTGCTTTTGTGTATTACCATATTCAAAAATAAGGGGAAATGTTACAATGCAGTAAATGAAAAAAAATATGGAAAATGTGATAAATCTTTTTAGATTTTACCTTTTGTGGTTAATCAGATAGTTATAATTGAACGTTTTTGTCTTTTCTGCAGAACTTTAATATGTGATAGATAGATTATAACATGTCTTTTTCATATTGGCCCTTGTATCATCCCTCGACCCATATCAGCCCTCGGCTAAAGCCTCTGGCTGATATGGGAGTCTTTGGATGATACCAGGGCCAATATGGAAAAGGGCATGTTATAATCTATTAATATATAGCAGTTGTTGTCCATTTGTTTGATGTGTTTGAGCTTTCGATTTTGCCATTTGAGTAGGGACTTTCCGTTTTGAATTTTCCTCAGAGTTTAGTATTTTTGTGAATTTACTTTTTCCTATATATTTGAATAACAAATAGGATTTTCTTTTCAAAAAGGCCCATGTCAACGTATTTTATAGTAAAATTTAGCCATTGAAGTATACAATGTATTAAACTTAATTATTCAACTTTTTTTTTATTAAAGAGTAGTTTCGATGAGGCATAACATGGTACTGATTGTCACCAAAAACAATTATGGGATATTGAACAATATCACAACGAATCATTATGATGGATATATTCTAAACTAATGACAATATAGGAAATAAACCTTTTTGATAAAAATTTACGTATTACTGTTCTATTAATGACGAACACATTTTGATTTCCCACGAAAAGTCGATGCGAATATGTCAATTTCAGTGATTTTTAGGGCTTGAAACATAGAGTGCATACGTTGACAAAAAGATCTTTTCTTTTAACATAAATTGGTTATAACAATTTACATACTAGTATCTGACTTGAATACTTCATTTGTTGAAGCCTGTGCCCTGTGTTTCGTTGGCATGAATTTGGTCAGACTTCACCAAAATCTCTATATTTCAATTGTCTACGTCAAAGCTTTATAAGGAAAGTATGGAAAACATAGTCATTTTCCCTTCTCGTGTGTCTTTTTATCAACTATAAAGATGTTGTTTGCTGGAAACAATGGATTTAATAATCGGGGTCAAATAAGATTTTTACCGAACTCAACCTTTTCAAGTAACATATGACTTAAAGATTTCGTTTCGATAAATTTCTTAAACATTTTACTAAATTCTTTCATAGATACAAAGAATTACATGATACATGTATTTAATCAAACATGAAAAACATGATATCTATGAAAAGATGTTTTGTAATTTCTTCCTCATAATATATATGTTTTCATTGTCGAGAACGTGCTAAATACGTAACCGAAGCAGTTAAACGGGTGTTTATTCTGTCAATGATAATTTGCTCATGTGTAACCACTATCTTTACAACAAATGTTGATACACTGGTTATTTCTTTGTTATTTTCATGCATTGGTCTGTCTATCTGGTTTCTTTATTAATCGGACTCGTTTTAATCAATCTGTTTGTTTTCATACAGACAAGAAGATTATCAATCACTGTTTTAAACAATTAAAAGGTCAATTTATTTTGAAGACGCTTACTTGAGAAATATGTCCACTACATTACATTTTAAACAGACAAATGGCAAGCATGAACATATTCAACATATTTATTATATGAAGAGAGCTTCTCAAACCTCTTTTCATCATTAGATATCCGTCGCAAAGGTTTGGCTTTACTTAGAATATAATTCGTTGTCTAAATACAGCTATATTTGACGAAAGGGTATAATGAGGGTATTGACAACTACTACCATGTGAATCCATACATAATTTATGGCAGGATCTATATTAATAATCTAAGAGCCCATTTATTTTTCGGAGAAAAAAAAAACTTTAATAAATTTGTTCCGACATAAGGTGCAAAATAAAATAAGTCGAGAGAGATGTTGAAGAAGATTCCTTTATGTAAATTGGTTTGAACTGTATTGATTGACATGAATAATGGAGAGTCAATTAATATCTGCACAACACTAGTTGGTTTAAGGTTCATGTGGACTTTATTGCTTCAATATTTGCATCTAGAATAGTTTTACGGCAAAGCGTAACATAGATAAATACAATTCAAATACATTTTATGTTTTAGAAAATTAAAAACTTAACTGGATTATGCTTTGCACATTTATTCGTCGTTGCAGAAGATGATCAAATTAACAAATACTTGAGTTTCATTTGTTATGGTCCATTCAGTGGCAATAGGTAGTCATGTATATATTGTCCCACTATTTTCATGTCAAGCAATACTACACACTTCAATTATTACCTTTGGAAACGTTCTCACACCTCTTTCTGAAATTTGTTTATTTTTGCACCTTCTGTATGAACGAAGAAAAGAGCACAATTTTGTTTGTACTTACAGCAAATTTTGAGTTGTAAACGCAGCCATTTATGCCAATAATCTTCATGAATATTCGATAGTAAAATCGAGAGAACGTTATTATGTAAATTAAATTGTTTCTTAAATAATCATATTATGCATGCATGCATGCATGTTTTAAAATACCCAGCTGCCAAGGCCTGCTGTATATAGATTCTATGTTCAGGTTGTCTTTATACTTGACATGATGACATTGTATAAGTTTAAGACCTCATCCATGATTTTTTATCTGTTTTTGTAAATTTCAATCACGTGTTTTAGTTACTGTATAAACGTTATTTAAGTTTAAAAAAAATAATAATCAATTGCTACAATACCTTGTTATGCATTACATTGACATTTTGAAATGACTGCTTTTCATAAAAGGTTTAGTTGATATTAATTTTCTCATTTGAATATGTTGAAATATATAATTTTACAAGAGCTACTTTCTTTCCAATTTACTTTGCTTTGTCAAACTTATCATATAAATTTATCTCAAGCATTGAACATCTTCATATCACCAGACAGTTACATCATTTTTAAAATTTGCTCCAATTATCAACTTTTGAATTGCAATGTTGGATTTCAAAACCAAAGCATTAGCTTTAATTTTTGAATGAGTGAATTTATATTTAACGGCAATATCAGGCATGACATGCTTTGGCAATACATAATATATATACACAATGTAACAAAACACAGAGAACAATACAAAATAATATAACTAACCAATTATATCAGACCTAGCTTTCCGTGCATTTTTCAAATAACAGAGCAGCTTAATTATAAGCGATCTAGCGTAGCTTATAACAAACCTTATTATTTTATAGCATTCGACCAAGAACATTATAAACGTCGCAAAAATTATAACATACACATAAAAGCGGATATGTTAGTAAATAAGAGAAACAACCAACTCCAACATTTAGTTTAAATGTACCGCTTCGTAACTTTGAAATAATGTGAACATTATAATTACAGCTTAAATAATTCTCAATACAAAAATCAAACTTTACATTTTTAAATAAACTTTATTTCTCACAATTATATAAATTTGCTGATCATGGTTGCAGATATTGGTCTTGAACGCGTGTCTTATTGATATCAAAACGATATCTCATTATTATTTTGGTCTATTCAAGTATAGTTCATTATAAGACTAAATAACGAATCGCACACATTAGATGCATGCCCAATTCCTTTAACCTTGATATGCATCGTCATATGATATTTCATATACATCATATACAAAAAGCTGGTCTATAAGTATCAATACTTAACTAATACTTTAAAGATTAATTGTTTTCTCAAAACAAACATATGTAAGTGACTAAGCTCCCCACAAAGAAAAACAAAAAGATCAGGTTAACCTACTTTTAGAACAAAATTAGATGAACAGATATGAATAATTTCGAAGTCGTTAGCGCGGTAAAATCCCATATTTCCAAAGAAAACTTCAGCTCCCTTCCAGCAATACCGTTAAAAAGACACTGTTGATGTGTTTTAATGTAGATGTTATTCGAGTTTAAGAGTGATGAGAAAGCGTTTGATTCTTGTTGAGACAGTAATTTTTGTGTGTGTAAGAATTTCCCGTTAAAGTGTAGTAACATTTTAACGTAAACGCACGAATTAACAAATTAAAGTTATTGGTTATTATATATGAAATTATCATTTACAGGTTGCTATCCATTTTTCATTTCCTATAATGTTTGAGTATATTTTCAAGTAACTGTTAAAGGAGCTTGGAGACTTGGCTGACAGAAAAATTTAAAAAACATAAAATACAGAATTCTGAGGAAAATTCAAATCGGAACGTCCCTTATCATATGGCAAAATCAAAAGCTTAAAAACATCAAAAGAATCGAAAACAACTGTCATATTATTGACTTGTCACAAAACAGTATCAGGTATTTTGATTCTTGCTGACAAGAAAAACACTTTAGTTTTAATTCACTTAAGGCAAAGTTTTTATGTTCCTTTTAATCAAATAGCTTGGCTTTAAATTGTATTGGTTTGAGCGTTTCTGGTAAAGGTTAATCCAGAAATATCTTCGAACGCATGAAAATCATAAATTGTTGTTTTTATTTTAAAATATGTGCTTGTTTTACAAATGTGTAATAAGCATTATTTTTTTTGTAGGTTGAAGTAAAAATTAGATGATATGTATGCATACAAGCTATTATACATATTAATCCTGATACGAGGTTTGTATTACTAAGAGTCAATTCTTCTCATAATATGCTTGATGATTTTTTTATAAACTTTGACTGCTTGAAAATGAACCTGTTATTATATTAAATATTAATATTAAATACGTGTAAAATAATTGCCCTCTTAAAAAGAAATTCCAACAGAGATATAAGGAAGAACGATTGAAATCAACAGTACATAAATGTTACAATCACCGTCATGCATTTATTGACCAATACTCTGTGTCTGTGTCACAACCCACTAGCGTCATGTTTTCGTTGTATTAAATTCTAAGATACCAATACAGTCGTGTGATCTGTAACTTTACCAATTTTGTCATATTCGCGATTGTGACATTTTGACAGAATTTCGATTCGCATGGTGGGAATGCATGCATAGCAGGAGACGCTTACCCTTTTGACGCATCCTGCATGCAATTCCTTTCGATTTTGTGTGTTGCAAAGATTTGAACATCGGTAAATACTGTCGTATCAATGTGTGACAATATATATTTTTTTTTTTCAAATTAAGACAACAATAATATTAACACTTAATGGGACATAAGGGATCTCGACTCAGATGAAGAACAACGCGATGTCGAAATTCCAAGACTCACTTGCCACTTTAGAACATATTATGACAAAAATAAATCCGACGTAACAAAATCTGTCCACCGCCACTTCCCAGAAAACAGTTTATAATAACAAGAAAATGATGGTGTGTGGTTGCTTCAAAATAGACACAACATTATGATCAAACAAGCAGATAAAGGCAGCGCTGTTGTCGTCATGGACAAATGCGATTATGATTTTAAAAAAACGTGCCCAATCTCCCAAACATGTTCAATTGAAGCCAAAACGTCTCTGTTTAGTAATAAATTATTGAAAATTATAAATTGTTGTTTTTATTTTAAAATATGTGCTTGTTTTACAAATGTTTAATAAGCATTATTTTTTTTGTAGGTTGAAGTAAAAATTAGATGATATGTATGCATACAAGCTATTATACATATTAATCCTGGTACGAGGTTTGTAATGTATTACTAAGAGTCAATTCTTCTCATAATATGCTTGATAATTTTTTTATAAACTTTGACTGCTTCAAAATGAACCTGCTATTATATTAAATATTGATATTAAATACGTGTTAAATAATTGCCCTCTCAAAAAGAAATTCGTACTTTCAATGGTGAAACTCGAAAGTACATTGTAGATATTGAAAAAACAACATTATTTGCTTTCATTTAAGTACATTATCGCAAAGCACCGCTGATTTGTGTAACAGACAAGACACCCACATATACATTTGTCAACAAAGTAACGATACACAAGTTTGAACTCAAATTTACCACAAAATATCATAATAGGAAAAACTGTTAAATGTATATGATTAAAAGAACCTGACCAAACTCGAAAGTGGGAAAATACCGTGTTATTGAACTTGTTTGAGACTCGTATTTACCTTACATCAATGGTTTCGATCAGAAAGAAACAAATACTTTGTAAATATTAGACCAATTGGGCAATTTTTTACCTTGGTACAGTGTATCCAATTTCATTTAAAGGGAAAATACATTGCCATGTATCGTTTTTTGTTGTTGACTAGTATATATATATACTGAAGAGATGAGTAGATGATCATTTCTGTACACTAAAAGAATTCTTCGTGTATTGTATCAGATATCCTTGTTTAATTCCTACGAGAAGGTAACACCTCCCGACACGAAAGCTGATTTTTATCAGCTATAGTTAGAGAAGGGAATAAGGTGTCTGTGTAAGTGATTATATTCTATATATGTAACACTCTCAAACGTGTTCATACCCATAAGTTTGTCCAATTCCTTCCAAATGTGTCCAATTTCACTTCGCCAAATGTGTCCAATAAATGTTGTTCGCCAAAACGTGTCCACTTAAGATCGCAACAACGTCTCAAAACTTTTAGCGCTAATATGTTCTCAGGGACGTCAATGAAGCGACATAGACAAGTGAAATAACTTTGCATGTAGTATTAGCATCCCTCATACATGCTGCATATTTATAATCGTTTAAAAACATGTATTACTTAAAGGTAACTTTAAAGTACGTTAAAACAGTATGTGTAACTTATAAGCTGTGAATCTTTTAGTCATTTTAAATGTGCATCATCTGTCACGTTACGTTAAATGTATAGTTAGCAAGGTAATAATCGACTAACATTGTTTAAGGGCGTACGGTTGCCTATACTTGCTTACATCCACTTCATTTGAACTTTGGTGGATAGTTGCCTTATTGGTAATTATACCACATCTTCTTAGTTTTATACTAACAGATTATTGGATGATTTGCTTTCAGTAGCAAATATTTCATGCATGTTTAGGACAACATAATTGCAACAAAATAAATAGGTAGGATACGTTTTTGGCATTTTAAGATATGGACTCCACTGACCTCTCCCAAAAAAGAGACGTTTTGGCTTCAATTGAACATGTTTGGGAGATTGGGCACGTTTTTTTTATAATCATAATCGCATTTGTCTATGACGACAACAGCGCTGCCTTTATCTGCTTGTTTGATCATAATGTTGTGTCTATTTTGAAGCAACCACACACCATCATTTTCTTGTTATTATAAATTGTTTTCTGGGAAGTGGCGGTCGACAGATTTTGTTACGTCGGATTTATTTTTGTCATAATATGTTCTAAAGTGGCAAGTGAGTCTTGGAATTTCGACATCGCGTTGTTCTTCATCTGAGTCGAGATCCCTTATGTCCCATTAAGTGTTAATATTATTGTTGTCTTAATTTGAAAAAAAAAATATATTGTCACACATTGATACGACAGTATTAACCGATGTTCAAATCTTTGCAACACACAAAATCGAAAGGAATTGCATGCAGGATGCGTCGAAAGGGTAAGCGTCTCCTGCTATGCATGCATTCCCACCATGCGAATCGAAATTCTGTCAAAATGTCACAATCGCGAATATGACAAAATTGGTAAAGTTACAGATCACACGACTGTATTGGTATCTTAGAATTTAATACAACGACAACATGACGCTAGTGAGTTGTGACACAGACACAGAGTATTGGTCAATAAATGCATGACGCTGATTGTAACATTTATGTACTTTTGATTTCAGTCGTTCTTCCTTATATCTCTGTTGGACTATATCTAATTTTGTGTAATGATTTCACCCCAACTAACGAGGTCCACATAGTGTGAACATACATGTGTGTTATGTCGAAACTGAGTAATATGTAAAACACATATGCAAAGTAGATGATATGTTTCTGCTCTTTCATTTAATTAAAATGGCGCCATGGAAAATACAAAACTTTCAAAAGCTCAACATATATTTTAATAATTATTCAGCAAAGTTTTAGAAATTTTGAAAAGAAGAGAAATATGCAGATACAATTAAATTTAAATATTATTATGAAAGAATGGTGATTTTCGTTTTTATTAGGTTATATATTTTCAAAGATCGAGTGTTCATCGCGATTGTTATTTTTTTGGCAGTGAATATTTTGCCGGCTCTCATTAAAATATCTTAATTCAAACTTAAGCCGGCAAAATAACATACTTCTATATAAATGGTTATCTTTTTTGTTTACACATATGCAATTCAAAGAACTGACTATTATTTCAAAGGCAAGTTTAATTTAAACATTTTTGATTTTTTAAGCTACATATATGTGATTGACTTTGGTATATTGTATAATGTTTTGACAAATTTTTGATAAAATGAGATTTTTAACGTGTATTGATTTTATAAAAGAGGGACGAAAGACACCAGAGGGATAGTCAAACTCATAGATCGAAAACAAACTGACAACGTCATGGCCAAAAATAAAATACAGTTAAAAAATCTGTGATTTTATTCTTATACATACTTGTCGCATTAGACTGACTGATTTTAGAAATAATTACAGCTACATGTTTTGATATGATTTCATTGCAACAAATGGATGCTCAAAATTGTTTTAAGTCCCCTACCGACGAAGTCGAAGGGGACTTTTGGTTTGCACTCCGTCCGTCTGTCTGTCTGTCTGTCTGTCTGTGCGTTCATCCGTCAGTCCGGCAAATCAGTTTTCCACACTTTTTTCTTCATGCTTGAAGATATTGATTTGATATTTGGTGTATTGTTTATTCATGACATGTTACAGATCAAGTTCGAATTTTGTTCTGGTCTGATGTTTTTGTGCAGAATTATGCTCCTTTTACTTAGAAATTTCACTAAAATAATCCGTTTTCGCACTTCTTTTGTCATTCTTGAAGATATTGATTTGATAATTGGTATATAGTTTTATCATGACAAGTTACAGATCAAGTTTGAATTTTGTTCCGGTCTGATGATTTTTGTGCAGAGTTATGGTCCTTGGACTTTAAAAATTTACTTAAATAATCAGTTTTCAGCACTTTTTTGCGTCATGCTTGAAGATATTGACTTGATATTTGTTATATAGTTTATACCATGACAAGTTATAGATCAATTTGGAATTTTGTTCCAATACAATGAATTTTTAACAGGTAGGGGACTATGTATTGCCATGCAATACTCACAGAATGCTTGTTTTTTCTTGTTATAAATTCTTATTTTCACTTTGACTGATAAATGTTTTTAAACGATTATATGTATCTCAAATATTGTTAGCTGTTTTCTTATTCTAATACTAGTATATCAGTAATTATTTGATTCTTTTGTGTTGATAGTGCACATTTTCTTGGAACTTTTCAAAAGTAAATATTAAATTTCCCTCTTTACAAAGAACCGGCAAAATAACAAGTTCACCATATTGCTGGTGCCGGTAAAATAGGCATTTCTATAGAAATGTGTTATTTTAGTAGCTTTCCTCTGATATTCATTTAATTTTGTGAAAAACAACCAATAATAATGCAAAAAAGTAAAAAATCCAATGGCGGTCAATAAGTTGCATTAAAATGAAGAAATGATTGCATTCCTATTCAACAAAAACTAAACTTTATGCATATTTATCTTTAAATTATTCACGCTTCATACACAATTACATTTTAAGCAATACGAACAAAAATTTAGTGTCTTTTTCCTGACATTCAGCATAATTTATGAAAAGGTATCAATTTTGATGTACAAAAAGTATTGATATCAAATGGCGATTCATAATTTACATCATAATAAAGAAATTATGACATTCATATTCAACACAAACAAAAGTTTAAGTATTTTCTGCTTTTTTTATTAAAATTCTCATAAAAAATCTTATCCTATGGCCTTTGAAAAAACAAGTTACAAAAAACATTGTATTTTTTTTTACCCAAAAGAAGAAAAAATGGTAATTTTAATCAATGCAAACAAAATTTTAGTATATTGTTTTCTTATATTCTTTTAAATTTATGAAAAACAACCAATCCTAAACTATAAAAAGTACAAAAATCCAATGGCGGTCAATAATTTCCTTTAGAATAAAGAAATGATTGCATTCTTATTCAACAACAAAAAAGTTTATGCATATTTATCCTTAAATTATTCACATCTTATACACAAGTACTTATATAAATGCATTTATTATGACTGATTGCAATTGACATTGCATTATTTCTGATATAAAAGATATATTAAGCAACGCGAACAAAAATTTAGTATCTTTTCCCTGACATTCAGCATAATTGATGAAAAACAACCAATCCTGATGTACAAAAAGTACTGAAATCAAATGGCAATTCATTAAACACAAACAAACGTTTAAGTGTTTCCTCCTCATATTATTAAAATTCTCATAAAAAATCTTATCTTGAGGCCTTTGAAAAAACTAGTAACAAAAAACATTGCATTATTTTTTAACAAATTAAAAGTAGAAAAATTGGTAATTTTAAACAATGCGAAAAAAAAATTTAGTATATTTTCTCTGATACTCTTTTAATCTTGTGAAAAACAACGAATCCTAAACTATGAAAAGTACAAAAATCCAATGGCAGTCAATAATTTGAGGCTGACTTCATACAGGAGCTTCTTAGGAAGAGAGATAAGAAGTTAGCAATATCCTTTAACTCTACGTTCCGCTATATAG